GAGGCCCTGAGTTCGATTTCCGATACCAAAAAATAACACAGAAGAACAATCACACTACTACTGAACAGGACAGGCAGATAGAGTGGCCTGGGGTGACACTGTGCACCATGCAGGGAACTCCACACACGCTGTACCTCACTGCACACTCAGGTTTTACCCGCACCTCACACACCACACACACCCGTCCTCAGTGCAACTCTCTATTTACATCGAGTCTCCTGGTCTCTGAAGGAGCACTCTACATTTAAGATCCTAAAATTAAACATCTCAGAAGCCCAGGCCTGTGGTGCATGCGTGTAGTCCAGCTATTTGGGAAGTTCATTTGAGTCCAGGAGTTTGAGGCCAGCCTGAGCAACATGGCAAGACAACATCTTAAAAAAAAAAAAAACACCTAGAGAATACCTGCCCCCTTGAGAACACCTGTCCACTAGAGTGCTCCTCAGTCAGCACTCTATGCTAAATGCACTGATCAGAGCACTGATGCTCTGTAGTCAGTTCTTTTCTCTCTCTCTTTTTTTTTGTTTGGTACCAGGAATCAAACTCAGGGCCTTGCGCTTGCTAGGCAGGCACTATTGCCATTGAGCTACATCCCTGGCCCTCTACTTTTTTTAAAATAAAAAAATAAAATTTCATAACAAAGTAAGAGAGTAACAATAGTTAATATACTGTGCATCAGGTACCAAAGGAAAAAAAAGGACCAGGGATGCATCTCAGTGGCACCACGCCTGCCTCACAAGTGCAAGGTCATGAGTTCAATCCCCGGTACAAAAGAAAAAGAAAAAAATACACACACACACACACACACACACTGTGCATCATAACTTTAAAAGTAGTTACTCAGTCAGGCATGGTAGTACAGGCCTGTAATCCCAGTACTTAGTTAGGAAGCTGAGGCTGGAGGATCATCAGGAGCTAGAGACTGCTCTGAACTACATGTCAAGATCCTCAAAAACAGTACTCAGAGCACAAGACATAGACAAAAAAGACCCTTACAAAGAAACAAACAGGTAATAGCACAAAGCATTCTTTTCAGTGAACTAAGAAAAACTAGTAGTATAAATGAGTAATTAGCATATGGATTAAAATATTTTTGAAAAAATATTTTTTGAAACAACAAAGTAGGTGATGTGAGGAATTATTTGGACTTCTCCTTACTTCTTTATCACCTATTTTGCTCTTTATTTGTACATATATTTTGAGTTTATCATATAAGAGAAACAATGTGACATTTAAGCTTGTACGTGCATCTGACTTATTTCACTTCATGTTCTCAAACTGCATCCATTCACCTAGGAACGCCTCAAGTTTTTCTTTCTTTCTTTCTTTCTTTTTGGTACCAGGGATGGAACTCAGGACCTTGTGGTTTCGAGGCAGGCACAGTATCACTGAACTAAATCCCCGGCCCAAGTTTATCTTTTTTCATGGCAGAGTGGTTCTGTACTGTGTATAAGCACCAGCTCTGTGGTCAGTTCTGTGCTTTCAGAGGACACCAAGAGGGATAAGCGTGTTTGGAACAAGATGTCAAAAGGGCCGTGGGAGACCATGTCTCCTAAACAGTGACTAGAAAAACTAACAGACAAACTACGACTAGCAAATATTTCCAAAAGACAGCAGTAAGCTATAAGGCCAATCTTTAAACATGCAAGGGGCTGGCAGAGAACAAGACCATTAGATTTGCTTTGTGCACACAAGAAGACAGGACTGATGCCCTAAAGAGAATTACAAGACACAGGAGCCCCTGGAAAGCCAGACAACTCCCAACAGTACTGCACTGGCCATCCCTGGAGGAATCCCAAGGGAGGTGACCTCCTCCAGGAAAGATACCCCCAGGGCATGGTGCCAGGCACATACAGGTGCTTAATAACTGTCCCATCACATGCTCCTCTCCAGGAGATCCCTTGCGGGGCCCGGGGCCCCAGCCTGGACTCAATTCAGTATTCCCTAAACTGGTCTCCCACAGCCTCACCAGCAGATGGGGTCTGAAAAGGGCTCCATGATCAAACATTTAGGAAATGTGTATCCTCCACTCCCATTCTGGGAGTTTTCAAAAGAAACCAGCAAAGATCTTGAGAAGTCCCTCTTGAGTGCAAAGGCCTCTGGACTCAAACCTGCCCAGGGAATGAGTAGCCACTCCATGGGGACCAAGCTGCAAATGCCAACTAAGGAAAGGCTGCTACAACTGGAACATCACCAGCAGAAAGTGCTACTCGCAAGGTTTCTAGATGTGCAAAAGTCTCCTTGGTCAGCATCCCATGCCACAGCCTGCCAGGCAGCTCTCAGCCAGCAGACCAGCAGCCCTGGTGGCAAGGAGTGCCCTGACTGGAAAGTGTGCTCCCCAAAGGGGACTGGCGTAGTTGAGACCTCCCTTCCCCTCCGCATCTCTCATTTCTCAGGACTCAGACAACGTTGCACAATAGCTTACTACAACTTCCAGCCTGATTCCATCACAGCAGCTTCCAGAAACAACTGCTTGGAGTCACTGAGTAAGCAATAATGCCTGCATTCCACATTGCCATGGGGTGCATGGCTGGGGGTACTGAAAGGCAAAGAAAGGCTCACCATCCAATTCGCTCCCAGCACCGCCGCTTGCTGACCTCGTAGGTGAGCGCAGCTTCCCACAGGTCCACATCAGGGGTCATGCTTGGTTCAGACTGGGAATCAGGAGTCAAATTGGAAGCCGACTGGAACCCTTCATCTTCCCACTGATCCACGCTCTGAGGGACCTGGAGACCACAGGAAAGAGTAAATCTCCATCTATTCCTTTGTTTGAATACCTATTTAGGATAGATTCCAGGAACTTTATCCACATGCTTCCACTTACTAGAGGGGCAGCCCTGACAGAACATTTTTTCTATTTTTCTCAAGAACATATGCATAGCATAATAAATCACAGAATTAAAGTAATACATTAAGGCTACCTGTTTTGAGTTTATTTATTTATTTATTTATTTATTTTACTTTTTTTGAGACAGGATCTCACTATGTACCTGTGGCTGGCCTTAAACTTATGCCAATCCTCCTGTCTCAGCCTCACAGGTCCTGGGATCACAGGTGTGAGCAACCACACCTGGCTTAAACACCTTACAGTGAAATATTTTTCACCTGAAAGTTTCATTCTGAGGAAACACAAAGTCATACTAGATGTAGAAAAATTTCTGTACACCATGATGTTTGCTATAGCATTATTTATGTTTCAAAATAAACTAAACATTTCACAGTAAGGAAATGACTAGTAACAGTATACCCTTAGCCAGGTGTGGTGGCACACACCTGTAATCCTAGCACTCAGGGGCTGAGGCAGGAGGACTGCCGCAAGTTCAAGGCCAGCCTGAGCTACATAATGTGTTCAAGGCGAGTCTGAACTACATAGTGGGCCCACTCAACCGTAACGTATCCTTTTAATGACTTCTACAAAGCAATAAATACAAATAACAATTTACTCAACTGAGAACAGCACCCCATGTTATAAGAAACAGTAGACTAAATTGCACGTATACCATAAACAAGTATCTTTGTCACATGTGGGTGAAATATGGCTTCTGCAATTAACCAATAGACTTCCTCTTTTAATTAACTTAAACAGCCGCTCTAGAAGGCAGAAGAGCAGACTTAACAACATGCCTGGTGGATTAGGTAAAAGGCTTTGGCCTGCAATGGGGGTAGCACATCCCTGGGTCGGTGTCTCCATGCCCTCTCAGCAGCTCTGCCTTGGGACAGCCCAGCCACCTGGAGACCTGGACTGGAGCTGCTCTACCTTTACTAGGATACAAGAAAGGACAAAGACGGCATTTTCCACTCCCTTGGAGAGGAAGAAGGAAAAACAAACACTACCTTAATGGCCAGTCCAGAGAGGTCTGCGCTGTCTGGCACAGGAGGAAAGTCCAGTCGAACATCCATGTCGTAAGTGCGGCTGTGCACAAGGGCACCAAAGAGCGAGACCCGGGTGTCTCTCTCAAACCTGTCACCACAGGGGTCACCAAATGAGAAGAGACCAACAGTGGGCAGGGCGGTGCCTGGAGCCGCCTCCATCACCTGAAGTGTTTCCTGGATCATGCTGTGACACAAATGCTCCTCTCTGGAGATGAAGGACTGAACATCCATTTCAAACACGCTCAGATCACAGCAGTCGTAACCACTGTAAGGAACGTTTCTCCCTGCGTGCTTGTTGTTAAAGAAATAGTCCCGTTTTCTTTGCAGGATTTGAGGCGGGCCACTCCCTGCTAGCTGAACCAAGAGGGTCAACACGGACCCCACCTCCAGCAGCGGACAGCAAGGGGCGGCCTCCAGCCCCTCCACCAGCTCCTCCAAGCGGTCGGCCTCGGGGCCCAGGCCGCCCACTCTCAGGTCGAAGGACAGCATGAGGACCTTGTTTCTCACTGGGAGCTTTGACAAGTCGGACTGCAGCGGGCGAGCGTCCTCTTGGAAAAGGTTTGTGAAGAGCGCATTGTAGGCGACCCTCTTGAGGCTCTGCTTGGTCCTCTTGCGGTCTACGCTGCGTTGCCCCGGGCGAGGCTGCGCAGCGGGCAGGAGGGCCTCGCACAAGTCGTCGAACAGCTGGGTGATGCTGGCCATCACGCCCCGGAGGCAGGAGGAGCGGGCGGCCGAGGGCAGGCGACCTCCTCACCGGAGCCCCGCGGCTCAGGACGTGCCCGCCCTCTAGTCCCGCAGTCCGTCACCTTAGGGGTCGCCGACCGCGACGAGCGAAGCCACAGACGCGACTACGCGCGGGCTGTACGTGCTGGCCTCGCACACACTCGGGGCCGCTCGGGGCTGGCGCAGGACGGGACGCTGCAGCGGGGTCCGCGGGTCGGACCCGCACACCAGCCCAACGCCGGGCCTTACGCTGGAAAGGCCCGCTTCACTCTCCCGCCACCTTGGCGTCACAGCTAAGCGACGGCCCGGCCGCCAGCTCAGGCGCACAGGAACTACGCCGCAAGGCAGGCGGACTTCCGGCCCAGGGTAGGCCGAGGCCCCGCGCCGGCGCAATGAAGGAAGCGGAGTCGGATGCCTCCTTTATTTAATGGACGTCCAATAATGGACGTTTACTGATGGGCTGGGCGGGGCGCGGGCGGGGCCGAGGCCCCCAGGAACTGACGGCGCGGCACTCCCGGGGTGGGCGGCCCGGAAGGAGGTTCCAGAAGGAGCTCAGAACCGCTAGGCTCGGAGTCTCCGCGCCTCTGCACGGGCTCTGAGGCCGCCACCCGCAGCATCTCCCACCGCGGCTGCAGCTGCGCTCGCAGGCTCCTCAAGGCCTGGAGGTCCTCTGGAGAGGCCGTAGAGAAAGGGCGCAGGCTGGGTAGCGCCTCTCCATTCAACGCCTGGGCTAGGGCCCGCGCAAGTTCGGGTGCAGATTCCTGGGCCAGACAGGAGGCGGGGACAGTGAGTCCCTGGTTCTTCCCAACACCCACACACAGCCTTCCACCCTTCCCGGCGCACCTCCTCAAGGAGGACCAGGACTCGGCCCCCCGCCGGCACCCGGAGCACTCCAGCCAGGAGAGCAGCCTGGGGGTCCTGGAGGCGATGGTCAGGCCCCAGCGCCACCAGCACCAGGTCAGGCTGGAAGCCATAAGCCATGGGCAGCACCAGGCCCAAGACGCAGCTCAGGAACCCTCCAGTCGTCTGTGGAGACAGCGGTAGAGCCCAACCCCCTCATCTAGGGGACGCTTTTCTGCTGGCTTCTGCCACCCCACTTCCCAGTCTCAGAGTCCCTGGAGTCCAAGCAGGGAGCAGGAGGGACCAGGGCATTGTGGGTGCTCCTGACCATGCCAGGGAGTACCTGCCCCCCAACACACAAACAGCCACTTACCCCTGGCAGTGGCATGGAGACATGGAACATGGACAGTGTGACTACTTCCTTGCCCCGGATGTTCAGCCACAGAATCCTCCTTCCAGGGAGAGAGGATCAGGGACACATTCACATATGTGTGAGCATGGACAGTAGAGGAGAACTCAAGGCCACCAGTAGAAAGAGGCAGGGCAGGGTGCTGTGACCCTCTGGCCTTGTGTTACCCGCAGTGGCCCCTCCCAAACACCAGCTGAGGAAGATCGAATTCTGTACTAACAGTGCCCCACCCACAGGGGCCTGCAGTCACAACACTGTCACAAGCCCATCCCCCTGTACAGTGAGGGATATGTGACCTAAGAGTCATACCCATCATCAGGAAGGTCCAGTGGCCGATCCAGCTCTCCCAGTACCACACAAAAAACCCTGAGCAAGAGTCAACCAAGGCCAGGCTGTGGTTCACACTGCCCAGAGTACATTCCCAGGACCCTCCATGTGGCATTCAGGGAAAGGGCACCCATGGGCCAATGGAGACTCACCTCTGGGCTCCGAGAGACAGACCTCGCCGAATGGCCACGTGCAAGGTGGCTGCTGCAGCAGGTGCTGGAGTGGATGCGACTCCACTGCTTACCTGTGGGTTTGGTAACAGCCAACTCCCAAACCAGATAAAGAGACCCATTCACTGAGCTACATTCCCAGCCCCGTGTATTTTATTTTGAGATGGAGGGTCTCACTAAATTGCTTCAGAGTGCTGGGATTACAGCATGAGCCACCACACCCAATTTACTCCCTAACTACATGCATTACTGTTACTGACTTTCTCTTACACTCTGAGGTCAAATCACTCCATTTCTGTAAACAAGGTGCTTAAAACCAAAGATGAGATTATCCACTTTCCCTCTCTGTCAAAGAGCAGTTCCCTGGACTGTTCTGAGATCGAGGTAACACGTCCCTGTGGTCTGCAAACACAGCCCTCCTGGGTGCACAGCTGCCCCAGCCCCTCCCCAGCAATCCTACCTTCCCATCCAGAATCCCATTTAAGAGGTACAGGAGCTTCCCAAGTGCAGTGAGGGCCTCATCCTGGGCCAGGGACTCATGTGGCCTGTGATGGGCAGGCCAGAAGGACACCAGACACCAGGTGACAGCACATCAGTTACACAAGCACAGGCACACACATGCTCATAGCACCCTCCCCAGCCTGCCCTGCCCACCTGGCCCAGGCTTCTGTCTCCCACTTCGGGGCTGATCCCTCCTGACGAAGCACATCAGGGGACAGGGACAGGGCAGTGTCTGGAGCAGTCAGGGCAACAGCCATTCGAACAGGGGGTGTGGGGTGGAAGTGCTGCTGATCCAGGAGGAAGCTCAGCGATGCCACCTCTGCCTCTGCCTTACATACAGGATCCCCAGGCAGCGGCAGCAGGGGCCTCCCCTCTGGGGAGTGGGTGCTGGGACTCAGTACTGGGGCCATATCTAGGGGAAGGTCAGAGTCAAGGTCACTGTATAAGAACCTGAGGTGGGAGCCACCAGCCCAGGCCTAGGTTGTGCTGACCTTGCTGCTGGAGGCTCTTCCAGTGAGGGGCCTGGGCTGCCCGGACATTTTGGATGGACTCCAGAGCACTGTAGGGAGAAGCAGAGTGGGGAGCGGAGCCTGCCTCATACTCCAGGCTTTTCCACCCTCCACCATTCTCACCTCTGACATGGCGCCATGGGCCCCAACAGGACAGGCACAGGGTCACCCAGCAGCGACCGTACCGTCATGCACACTGACTGTGCCAGGGACTCCAGGTGGTAGCCACCCTGGGAGGAGAGTGGAGACAGGAAGGGGAGGAGCTTCCCTGGGGTGGGCTCACTGCTCGGGACAGGGTACCCCACCCCTATGGCCCAGGCACCCTCCAGCTGTCCCCTGTAGTCACCTCCAACACTGCGCAGACACGGCCACCAGCCAGCACCTGCAGCAGCTGTGTGAGGTGGGCAAAGCATTCTGGTGTGGCCTGCATCTGTCCCTGGAACCAGAGCCATGTGTGAGGGGGCTGTGGGCCCAGAACGCCAGAGGGGCCCCCAGCCAGGCCAGGCCCTCACCTCTGGGTCCCCAGTGGCAGAGTCAAATCCTGCCGAGATCAGCACCAGCTCAGGGTCAAACTAGGGGTGGGAAGGCAAGAAAGAGGCTGGAGCCTGGGTAGCAGGAAGGCCTCCCTGTCAGGCTACCCCTTCCTGAGACTCCAGCCCTCAGCGGTCTGCCATCCACTGACAGAGAGGCTCACAGCCCTTCTCCTGCCTTCACAGTAGGACTCCGGGCAGGATGAGGCCCCCTGCTCTGGAGGACATCCAGCACACAGTCACCTCAAAGGCCAGTGGGAGCAGCACGTGCAGGAAGGCAGCCAGGTAGTCAGCATTGCCCATCCCAACCTGCAGCATGGCAGAGGGGAGGCATCAGCAGGGAGCCCTGCTAGTTGGGTCTTTACCCTCAGGGACTCAAGCTCTGGGGGGATCTAGTGGGATGCACCAGGCTACATTCTGGAGGCCTGGAGCTAGGGGACAGGAGAGGTACAGCCGGGCAGGTGGACTGGGTGGAGGGTCCTGGGTCTAGGGTGGGCACCTGGTTCCAGGGCAAGTTGACAGTGAAGCCACGGCCCTGTCCCTGCCCGACAGTGTCTGCATCTGACTCTGGAAGGAAGGGCCAGAAGCGTCCGTGCTCATAGCGGTGCCAGGAGAAGTAAAGGACACTGTCGAAAGCCGGCCAGGCCAGAGGTCAGAACCCTTGGCCACTCCATGACTTCTAAAGAACCCTGACCCCTCACCCCATGGCTGTCTCCCGATTTGGGTTTTTCTCGGTCACACCAAAAAGGGTTTCAGGGAAGGGTCATGTCCTAAACTCAGCTCACCTGGGGTCATCTTCGAAGATATACTGGATGCCCTGGCCGTGGTGGATATCCCAGTCAACAATGAGAACCCTAGGTTCAGACAGCACTGGGGGTCATGGAAAGGTGGGACCTCTCACCTCCAGGCTGAAGCCCAGCCAGGATGGGAAGGGGCTGGATTCGTCCACCACTGCCTGGCAGGCCCAGGTCCCCCCACCTTTGCAGTGAGCCTGGCACACACCTGTGCAACCCATGTTTCCGCTTGGCATGTTCAGCTGCTATAGCCACATTGTTAAACACGCAAAATCCATTGGCAGCTGCCCTCTGGCTGTGGTGCCCAGGAGGCCTGGGGATGAGAGTGGAGTATGGGGCACAGCAAGGTCATCCTGTCCCTCACAGGGCCACTCACGCGAGGCAGCCAGGTGAGCTGGGTCATGCGTACCTCACCAGGGCAAGCCCATTGTTCGAGCCTCCAGTCAGCACAGCATCCACCAGCTGCAGCACAGCACCCACAGCCAGGCGGGCACAGTGAAATGTGCTCTGTGGGATAGGGGTACAGGTTAGCTGCTGCCTGCTCTGCCTGTGACAAGCTGTAGGTCACCAACTGCCAAGCACAACAGGTTAGGCTGACCCGGGAGCTCTGGCAGTAGCAGCAAGCAGAGCTTGCAGGGCATTGTCACAGACATGACCAAGAGGACACAGGCAGGCAGGCTGTCAGCAATGAGGTGACACAGGAACATGGATGCATATCTGGATGGGTGAGCATGTACAGGGGTACCCCAGAGACACACCGGGTGGAAGTAGACAGCATCGAACTGTCCAGAAAGTGCCTGGAGCTCCTCTGTTCCCAGAGTCTGGGTCCTCCGAACCAGGGCCACATACTCTGGGCTGGAGAAAGGCAAACAAGCAGGCAGGTCACCAATAGGCACAGGGGGCAGAGGAGGGATTGGGTTCCCAGTGCCAGTGCCCACCCACCATTGCTCCCTCTAGCCCAGAACCCAGGCTCCTCCCAATGGTGAAAGAGGCACACGTGGGAAGGGCTGCTTCAGCAGGTGCTCATGGGTTCCTCTGACCTGTGCACCAGGCCCAGCTCTGCTTCCGTGGCTTCTCGGGCTGCCAAATGCAGGCACCTCTGCTCCAGGCCACACTGCCGGAGGCTGCCCAGGGCTGCTGCCAGGCGCTCAGGACACTCGATCTTGCACTCCGAGCTGGGACAGACAGAACTCTCAGTGTCCACTGTCCCCTCTGCGGCCCTACCCCGACTAGGTCACACTTACTTGTCCCAGAGCAGCCGAGTGGCCATCATGTCCTCGTGATACACGAGAGCAGTCCCCATAGCTAGACCGTGGTCACTGCGCGCTACTGTTCTCTGGGATAGCACGCCCTCCGCCGGCAGGTGACTGCACTGCCTGTCCCCAGTCCCCTCGCAGCCCGGGGACAGATCAAAGCCTGGGATATGGCTGTGACGATGCCCGGAAACGGTGCCAGCGAGAACACAGTCCCAGGGCGCCCTGAGATCACCCGCGTAGCTTCCGGGTCTGCACTCAGATCCCGCCCAGTCCCCCGAGCGCCGCCCCGCCCCTCGGCGCGCCGCCCTCCAGGAAAGACTCCAGACGACTCCGCCCCGCGGGTCCTCGACCAGGGCTCCCTGGGGATGGAAGCCTGGGGAGCTGTCTCCGAGTTCATCCGCCCCAGGCGTCCGCGGGGTGCAAGGTGGCCCCGGGAGCCACCGGGCCAGGGCTCAGGAGGGGTCGGGACCAGACAGTGCGCAGGGGAGCGGGGATGGGAAGGCTAACCGGCCCAGATGGGGTCAGCACCGCAGGGCCACCCCAGGCTTTAGGAAGGGACAGCCGGGGAGCGACTCGGGCGCTAGGAAGACCCCAGACCGAAAAACCGGTGAGTCAGGAGGAAGGCAGAGGCGGGACAGGGCCGGAGACCGGACGCAGGGTAGGGGACAGAGCCCCTCATGGAGAGGATGGAAGGTGCACCGTGCAGCCTTAGTGCGAGGCGACCCGAGGCCACATCCGACACCGCGAGGCTTTGGGGAAAGGCCTCTTGGCGGCGACTGTGCTGTACCCCACAAGAAGCTCACGTCAAAATCCGGCCACCGGCCCCGCCCCGCCCGGCTCCCGGCGCGTGCCAGGTCCTGAGGCTCAGCGTACGCTCCCGAAGCAGCTAGATCACGCGAGGACTGGGCACCCAGGGCCACGTGTCACGCAGGGCGGAACGTGGGACCAGAGGACCGAAGATCCCGCCGACTTTGCGCCTGCGCACTAGGACTCCCGGCTGGGGGCCTCAGACTGCCCGCCCGCCCCCGCCCTCGGTCTGTCCCCACCGAGCCTGCGAGGCCTCGAATGACCTGGAGGGGGGTGCCGTGCGCTCGCCGGTACCGCCCGGGGCGTGACCAGGGAGTACAGGACCCGCCCCTGGGCGCCATCGTTAGGAGGCTGAGTTTGTCCCCTCCCTACCCCGGAGCCTCGATGTGGGAGGAGCCGATAGTTCCGTGGGCCGCAGTCTTCTCCCCCTGCGCCACCCCTGGGTCGGGCTCCAGGTGCCAAGGCTAGCTTGGGCGGTAGGCCGGAGTTAGAGGAGGTCGCCCCACACACAGGAAAGGAGGGGCGGCGCCTTAGGGTGGTGGCTGAAGGCCCACTGGAAGGGGGCGGGGAGGCACCGACTTCCTGACCCCCAGAGAAGGCGAGCTCCGGAGCTCAGGAGCTGAGGCCCGGCCGCCTCCTTGGTGCAGGTGTTAGCTGGGCGGAGCAGTGCCAAGGCGTCAAGCCACACAGCCAGAGTGGGAAGTCTACAGAAGGGTTTATTTTCTTCCAGTCAGGTGGGCACAGCAAAAGGCTAGTTTACACTCCAGGCTGGGGCGCAGGAGTGTCCACAGTGCCCCCCCCACACACACACCAGGAGAGCCAGTGTCCGAGTCGGTGCCCTGAGCCTTCCCTGTCCTTTCTTCTCCCAGCCCTGCCACCCCTAAGGCTTTCTGCTGTGTCCTGGCAGAGGGGGCGACCGGCCCAGGGGCCAGAGGCCAGCCCAGGTAGGCAGGGGTCCTGTGTAGAAAGTGGAACAAGGACCAGGAGAGTCCACAGATGGAGGGTCTACTCCGCCTCTCCAAGCCCAGGCAAGGTCAGGTGGTAACCAGGGTTCCTCTTTCGGGGAAGGAGGGCTAAGGGGTGAGGCCCCTGGCCAGGTCCCTAGGGCGTCCGTGCCACCCAGAGGTCTTCACAGGGCTGTCTCCTTGGCGGCCCTGGCCCCCAGCTGCCTGGGAGGCTTGAAGCTGAGCACTTCTTTATAAGTGACACCTGCAGAAGGTGAGAGACAGGAGACAATGGACCTTTGATTTACCATGGGCACAAGCCAGGGCTTCTTGGACTTTTCCTCTAATCCTCACTGGGCCAGACCCAGTTGGAAGTTTGTGTGAATATTGCTAAAAAGCCAATTTTCCCACAGAAACAAAAGGAGCAGGGACTTGTGTGTCTGTCCAGGGGGTCCGTGGTAAAAGCAGGGTCTCCCAGCCACAGTGTGTGTGGGTGGGGACCACAGGCAGGAATCTGTGGCCTGTGGTTTTTGAGTTATCTTGCTTGGCAGCAGAAGCCTTTCATCACACAGAACCAAGCCTCATGACATAGCAGAGAGGCAGAGAGACCCTGCTAGAGGTACAGGAAGCCCTGGTTTGAGCACCTCGGGCTGTCCAGGCCCTTGCATTCCAGGTATAGGATTGAGGCCATGGCTCTGAGGCAGACAGAACAAGGCCTGGGAGTCAGTGGCATGGCCCAGTGCTGACCTGTGCCCTGAGACACACTGGGCCCTGGGATGAGCTGCATAACCACCTGCCATTCCAGAGCAACCTGGGGTTCAGGTGCAGGGTAGGGGAGGTCCCTGAGCCCACCTGAGGGCTGTCCTCAAAGAGGAAGGGAAGGCCCTCAGTGTAAGGGGACACAATTGCCACACAGCACCAAGGTGCAGAGCAAGCCACCATGGTGGGATGTGAATTGCTCAGAGGGGCTGGAGGGGCTGCAAAGGGTAGGCCTTCCCTTGTGCAAATAACAAGAGGAGCATATGGAAGTCCAGGTGGCAGAGGTCCTAGAATGGGGCAAGAAGACACATGGACGATTCCAAGAGGCGTGAGCAGCAGAGGGGACGTGGGGACATGAGGAGGGGGCTCCAGGATCTCTGGGCTAGATACCAGGGAGGCCGGGCCACTCAGGGAGAAGCCAGAGGCACTTCTACTCTAAGCTCAGAGCTGCTGCAAAGTTCCTAGACTCATCCTGGACCAGCCTTTGTACCAGGGCTTAAGGCCCTGCCAGAAACATCCTTTCCACTGCTTCATGGTCCAGCCAGAGGTCACCTTGGCCAAGCTACACAGTCCTGTACTCCCATCCTCTTCCTCACTGGACCTGCACAGGGTCAAGACATGGGCCCTGCCCGCACCCCCAAACTCACGCTTCCACTCATCCAGGGTGCGGTCCATGTCATCAAAGGAGTCATCATACTTCTGGGCCTTGGGCTCCTCTTCCGTGTCATGCAAGGACTCAAAATAGGGGTGAGCCAGTGCCTCAGCCGCTGTCACCCGCTCCTCTGCATCCAGCACCAGCATCTTCTCTAGGAGGTTCACAGCTGGGGGAGGGTCACAGGCTAGGTCACAGGCAGGATTCACACTCAGGGCCCCGGACTCCCCAACCACCAAGCCCTACCCATGGGGCTTGCGTTGGTCAGGACAGAGGCAAAGTCCTTCTTCTCCAGCTCAGGGAGGCCCTTCATGTAGTTCTTAGCCTGTGCAGGAAAAGAGTAAGGGCCAGGCCCAGGCCCAGAGCCAGCAGCTGACCCACCTCAGCCCGCACAGACCTCTGCACTCTGCAGTTTGTGCACAAACTCAGCGGGAGGAGTCCCTGTCACCTTCATGATCTCCTTCAACTGGTCCAGGTCTGCACCAAGGTCAGGAGCACAGCACAGGGCCAGAGGGTGGGACCCACACACCCACCCGCCACTCCGCCAGAGCCCCACAGCGCCTCAGTGGGAGGATACGGTCACTGCCCTTGAATAACGTCTTCCCTGTAATCATCTCCGCCATGATGCAGCCCACTGACCAGATGTCCACTGAGACAAAAGCCCCGTCAGTGTCCCGTGGGCAAAGGGGGCCATGCATAGACATAAGATAAGGGTTCAGGCAAGGAGGATTTGACTGCCGACACCCTCCCCAGGCTCCCACCCCGACTTAACAACCTCCTCGGGGAGCAGCCTCTGTGGGGCTATCAAGAAACAGGGAAGCTGGGGTGTGGCTCAGGGGCAGAGCTCTAGCCTAGCACCTATGAGGCCCTGGGTTCCATCCTGAGCATCACAGAAACAGAAACAAGGTGCAGTTCAGGGGCCCTGGGCTCTCTGGGGGGCCCTCACCCGTCTGTGTGTAGCGCATCCAATTCAAGATGACTTCAGGTGCCCGGTACCACCGGGTCACTACATATCCTGTCATTTCGCTGTCTGCCTGTCGGGCCAGGCCAAAGTCCAAGATCTGAGGGAAGAATTGGGGACCCGAGGGGTGAAGAGGCAGCTATGGTCCCAGAGAACCCAAGAGGCCTGGGCTTCCTACACCCTACCAGGGCTCAAGGTCGTGGCCCCAGGTCGTCACACTGGCCAGTGCATGCCAATGGACTCACTGAGGGACAGGTGCTAGGGTTCTCTTCACCCTGCTCCGCCACCCCCTGTTCACCTTGGGGGTCTCCACAGGCTGGCCTGGGTCAGGCATGGGAGCTGGGGCCGCCCCCTACCTCACTGAGGCAGGTATGGAGTGTGCCCAGTGCCACCCCAAGTACCTCAGTCATGGCCCATCAGCTGCTCAGCGTGGGCCCAAACGCCCTGGGCCTCGCCCTCTGCCTGGGCCTGGGCCTGGAGCTGGCAAGTGGATGGGCATGTGGAGAGGGCCCTGTGCCCCACCCTGGCCATCCTCCCTCCCAGCCACACCTTCAGCTCACAGTCCTCATTCACAGCCAGGTTGCCGGGCTTCAGGTCCTAGGCAGAGGAAAGGCGACCACTGTGCCCTGTGACCTGAGCACATGCAAGGCCAAGGGGAGGGTGATACCCACAGGGGCCACCAGATGGGGCCTGGGCCTTTGCCCCTACAGCCCTTTGAGGGAGAGGACAGGGGCTGGGTCCCCGGGGGTTGCTAGCAATAGGACTTGTACGGGCCCCTGTGTGAAAGCCCACACAGACCTCACTGTCCCCTTGTCACATGTGGGAAATGGAGATGGGGATTGAGCCCCTCTCAGGCCCACAGCCAGGGAGGGCGACTTACCCTGTGGATGATCCCAGCAGCGTGGATATACTGTGGGGAGGAGCCAGAAGCCATCAGCCTGGGGACCCCAGCCAGAGCCCTGCTGCCCCCTTCCCACAGGCGCCCCTAAAGACCCCACCTTCAGCCCCTTCAGCATCTGATACACAAGGAACTGGATCCGGTCTTCACTCAGTGTCTCGTGCTTCATGAGCTTGCCTAGATCGGTGCCCATGAACGGCATTACCAGATAGCTGTGGGAAAGGGCTGGGGCATTAGTGGGCAGGGCCCGGCCCTGGACCTCCGCCAACACCCACAGGGCCCAGGCTCAGGCCCTAGAAGATCCCACCCCAGCAGCAGCTCCTCAGATGTCCTGCCACAGCCACCCCCAGCCTCAGGGCTGTCACCCAGGCTCTAGCCACCACTGGTCCCGCCCTGGTCACTCTCAGAGACAGCCCCACCTTCCCAAACACATGCCCACGCCTATTCCAGCCACCCTCCCTAGCACAGGGCTTCTGAATGTCCAGATGAAGGGGGAGGGAGGAGGGCCTGGGGAGGGACACTGGAGTCAAAAGTATGGGCTTGCGGGTGGAGGGAAAGGGGGGGGAGTGGCCTTAGCAACCCCAAAGTACACCGGGTCTGCTGTGGGTCCTCAATCTCTGTCAGCCAGGCACCAAGGAACCTGCTACCTGCCCCTCCAGCCCTTCCCAGGCCCACCCTTTGGCCTCCCACCAGCAGCAGTGTAAATCAGGTGGCCAGCACAGGACAGGCTCCTCGGGGCAAGGGCAGGGTAGGCCTCCTGGCTGCATCTGCCCCGTCTGCCAACAAAGGTCAGCAGCTTCAGTTTCAGGCCATGCACTGGTGCCAGAGTCCTGAGCACGGGCCCTGCCTGTTCACAAACACCAAGTCCAAGGTTCACACCTCCGGCACTGTGAGGTGTCAGGCATGAGTCATAGAGACAGCAAAATGCCCAGCTCTGCCTGGGCCTGCCCGGGTCCCCTGGCCCTGGAAGCAGTAGGGATGTAGTGTAGACTGGCAGAAGGTAGCCCCCACGCCAACCCAGAAGCTGAAGCCAGCTCCCAGGAGCTGCTTGTGCCTCCCCCAGCCTGCCTGGCAGGCCCAAGTGGCACTCACAAGTCAGTGAACTCATCCAGTGTCTCGTCAGGAGTGAACACATCCAGGAGCCCGATCACCTAGGGGCAGGGCATTGGGCAGAATTGGAGGCACACAGAGGCTGTAGGGCTCACCTCCCCCCGGTTAGCAGAACACCCCCACACACACAGCTGTCCTTGTCTGTGCCCACTGGCAGCATGGCCCAGCCCTGGTACATACACTTGCCCACAGATACACACTATTTTTGGATGGTGACAGCCGAGATCCTCTAGGGAAGGGGCAGCCCCACGTCTGGCCAGGCTCCCTGCAGTCCCAGAGCTCCAGCCCCTTTGCCTTCCCTCCCCCTTGTCCTCCTGTCAACCAAGGCAACCCAGGACCAGGGTGGGGACAGCTGCCTGGGAAGAGCTAGCATCTAGCAGATCCCTCCTGGAGTGAGGTCAAGTGGCAGCCAGACCTGGGCACCTAGAGCCCCTGGTTAAGGGAGATGGATATCAGCCAGCTATTTTGACACTGGCTACCCCAGGACTTGGGGGTGACAGGGTGTGTAGGGGCCCATGGAGGCCTCCCTGAGGAGGGCTGTGCATGGAGCAACTAGAGAGGCAGGTGGGTACAGCAGAGGGGCCACATGCACAGTGGCCGAGGCCAGAGGGAGAACACTTGGAGTCTGAGGCACAGGAAGGGACACCAGGTGGCCAAGTCCCAGGCCAGGAGGAGCCAAGGAGAGGCCAGAGGGAGCCTGGGCAGGGCTCACACATGCACAGAGTCTGGCTTTGATTCCAAGAGCCACCATGGAAGGGTTGAAACCGGGCTGTGACAGTGAGTGTGACTGCCAGACGCCTTGTAGAACACAGTGCAGGGAGCGAGAGGGACAGGAAGTGGAGGGCGGCTGATGACCACATGAGGCCAGAGAGTGGATGAGGGAAGAAAAAGGCCTGGTGGGGGACCAAGGGTTCCCAGCAGAGTTCTAGGACAGGGACCTGCGTCCGGGAGGCTGAGGCAGCTCTGTCAGAGGGACCAGACTTCCGTGCCTCTGGGGTAGGGACAGCGGCCCCAGAGTAAGAAGGAAGGAAACCCAAAGCAACCAAGGGGGAGCATGGGGCAGAGCTGGGTGAGGCCGGTGGCAGCTCCCTGTCCCCACTGAGTGGGACACTCGGCCTCTCCCGGCTTCAGTCTCCTCATGGCAGTGGGGTATGCTAGGCAGAGCCTCCCAGCTTAGCTTCAGGACATCCTGGTGGCAGCAGTGACCAGGTGCGGATAGGGTGGGAGCCTGGCAGGAAGAGCAGGACCCCAGCACCATGTGGGTGGCCCCAACACAATGGAGGTGACCCCAGCTAGCACAGGCTGCACTGGAGGTGAGCAGACTGAGGGGGCCCAGAGCCCTTGGCTGGACAGGGGCGATGGACAAGGAGGTGCGGGGAAGGATGGAGGGGAATCTGGGGAGGATGCCAAGGACGGGGAGCCACCCTCACAGGGTCAAGGCCCAGTGTGGTGGGGAGGTGACGAAGCCTGGTCACAAATGGACATCACACAGAAAGGGGGCCAAGCCCAGGGCCAGGGCAGACATGGGGAGTTTAAGAGAACCAGGGTGGCTAAGAAGGGCCAGGAGCCAAGAGGGTCTGTCATCCTGTGGGCGCAGGGACCTCATTCTCCTGATGACCCAGGGTGTAAGTGCCCAGACTGGGAGTGGGAGGGACTGAATTCAGGGCCACAGGAAAAGCTGCAAGCAGAGCTCCCTAGAGAGAGAAGAGCTCCTACAGCCAGCAATGGCCACTGGAGAGGCCCAGGGACGGCCTGGTGGTATCCCACGGATAGGGCTGGAAATGAGACCCTCCCGACCCCAGACCTGCAGTGGCTGTAATGCTCCCCAAACGGAGGCCCCCTTCACTCACAACCTCTAGGCCAGTGCAGGCGAACCTTTTAGAGCTTTCAATGATACAAACAGCCTGCTCCAGCGCGGTTCGGTTCGCCACCGCCTAGGCTCTGCTGCTGCAGAATCACAATGGCTGGCCTTGCCCTGCATCCCAGGGGACCCCTGGCCTAGAGGGGCAGACTCGGGCGGGGCTGGAGGAGGCCGGGTGTGGGGAAGAGGGAGGTGCCCTTCCAGGAGGGCCCTCCTCCACAGCAGGGCACCTCCCACCACGGGGACAAGGCCCAGGTATGATGGGGCAGTGGGAAGGCCAGGCCACAAGTGGATGTCACACGGAACCGGGTCCAAGCCCAGGGACACCCCACCAGGGTGCAGACTGGAGGAACCCTGGCTTGGGCAGGTTGCTGCCCCCTGACCTGGGCCTGGGCTGGGGAGCCAGGCACAGCCCCAAGCCAAGCCAAGGAGCGGAGAAGGGGATCTGGCCGTGGGGCCCTCGCTCCCTCCCGGTGCATGGGCTGGCTGGGCTGGGTGGCGCCCTGGTGGGGACCCTCTGGTGGGCATCGTGGAGGGCGCGCGCACTCACGTTCTCGTGGCGCATGTGCTTGAGCAGACGCAACTCGCGGTAGGCACGCTTGGCGAACAGCTCGGACTGGAAAGGCCGGTACAGCTTCTTGATGGCCACCTTGGCGCCAGAGCGACTGTCCACGGCCGAGCTGCAGGCGGGCGGGCGGGGACTTAGCGCGGCCCGAGCCCCCGGCCGCCGCCCGCCGCCCCGCGCTCACCACACAGCGCCGTACGCTCCCGAGCCCGCGGGCTGCAGGTCCCGGTACTCGGCGCGCACCGCCCACAGCGTCTTGGCCACCTCCTGGCGGTAGAAGCCCTTGCGCAGGGGCGGCGGCGAGCTCATGGCACCGGCCCGTGGGAGCCGGCCCACCCGGCACCGGACAGCAGGACGCGAGCTCCTCCGCGGTGGTAACCCCGGCTCCCCAAACCGCCGACCCCCGACCCCCGCCGGGCACTCCGGCCCCTCCCCCGCCCGCGGACCAACCGGCCCCCGCGTCCCGCGCACGTGACCCGCGCTCGGCCCCTGCGGAAACCCTAGGCCGCCGGCCGGGCCGAGCCGAGCTGGGGGGCGAGCGGCCCGCCGCCCCACCCCGCGACCTCCGCCCCAGGTCTTAGCCCACCCCCTCGGCTCGGCTCGGTCTTTACTGTCCCCCTCCCGGGCACGCGGCCCAGCCTAGACAGCCTGAGCCTGTTGTCTTTCTCCCCTATCCTGCGGTCACTGCCACCTGCTCAACACCACTCCGGTCGCACCCCGCCCCATGCCTGGCCTGTGTCCCCGAAGTCACCCCCACTCTACCCCAAGGATGCCCCAGCGCTGGGGCTGGTCAGTTTGTGTCCAGTGGGGCGTGACCTCTCCCAGCACCTGCCTCCCAGGCCTCCCCCTTCCATATGAAAAAGAAGTGCGCTGTCTCCACTCGGGGCGCATCCCCAGCCCCATCGCTGAGGCCGCTGCCCCCCGACCTCCCAGGAGCAGAGGGCTGGCACTGTAGGTCCCCCTGGGCCCTATTATACCCACATCTCTCTCCCTCTCTGCCATGTGGGGTGCCTCTTCCCACTATGGGGCCCCATTTGTCCCACCCTTGCCCAGACTGCCCTTCAAAGCCCACTCCTGGAGTTGTGTCTGCCCGAGGCATGGGGGCAGGGCCAGCGGCTTTCAGCCTGAGCCCTCCTGGTGGGCAGCTTCCCTGGGGTCTGGCTCAGATCCCGACCAGATGCTCCTGGAGGCCAAAGCCCCCACCCCTCCCACAGCCCAGATACAGGTCTGAAGGGGGACTAGGGTCCACCCCAGGAGCCCACTGGGCTGGTGGTAACAGGATCCCAGGGGCCCCGCCCCACCCGCCCGCCATGAATCAGCAGCTCAGCGGCTGAACGGGCCAGCACAGCTTTGCACCTGGGCTGTGCCGGCGCAAATGTGACTGGCACATTCAGGAGCTGCCTCTGACAGCCAGCAGAGGCAGCCTGGGGCCACTTGGGCCGTGGACATCTGTATCCTGTGCCCTTTGTGCCACACCCCCACAGGAAGCCCCTGAGCTGTCCTTACTCTCCGTGGGAGCCCCAGAGCCAGCATCAGACCAAGCTCCTGAGGTGGAGCCAGGACCCCGGTTCAGTTCCTATCACCTGTGCTCAAACACCCAACTTGGCCCAGCCTGGTCTCCAGAGCTGCCCCCAGGAACAGCCACCAACCACATTGTCCAGCCCTCTGGAGGTCCAAGACACAGGGCAAGGGCTCATGCAGACTATGCCCATGTCTTAGATGCACGAGCAGCAGCTATCGTGTAAATTCCTTTGTCCTTAAACAGGAAGGAAAAAGAAGCTATTTCTGATACTCTATCCAGCCTCTGGGGAAGGGCAGGTCTCTGCTGCTCAGTTGCCCTGACCAGTGAGTGGAGGGTCTGCTTCTAGGCCAGGAGCCAGCATGCCTATTGAATACCCCCATACAGGGCGGGTGCGGTCAGTGAATGGCTATCATACCCATTGCCCCTCAGAACCCACTGTCCCGTCCCTGTCCCCACCCCGGCTGCCTCTCAGGCCCAGGAGCAGCAAGAGAACCATAGATGGCTACTGGTCTCATTGGAGGACCACAGTGCTATGGCTTGTGTTTAGATGTCCCTGGAAGCCTCATGTGGTCATAGGTGGAGCCTTTTCTGAGTTGGCTGGATCTAGAGTGTGGCTGGAATTGATTCATGGTGCAATGCTAGGCTCAAGGGCTCTAGGATTAAGAGTATGAGAGCTACCCACTCTAAGTAGTCTGGATAAGACAAAAAGGACAGACAGACTAAGGTCCCTTGTTGCTTTTGCTTATGCACACCATGACTATTCTCTGTGATGCCCCTTTGCCAAGCCACCCTGTCTTGGAGCCAGCCGATTAGACTGAAACCTCTACAAATTGTAAACTAAATAAACCTTTCCCCCCTTTAACTCTGGGTGTTGGGTATTTTGTTTCAGCAATGAGAAAAGTAACTAAGATGTAGAGTCTGGGCCGTGTCCAGGTCTTGGGGAGCCAGACCAACTGAAGATGTGTGGAGATCTATCTATCCACCCCCTCTAAGAAGCAGGGACTGTGAGGGTGCAGTCCGGAATCTGGCACACAGACTGAGCAAGAGGGTACCCCCTTTATTGAGCACCCTTGGTGCAGGCACTTGACATCTCCACCTCCCTGGGTCCCTGGAGGCAAGAGGTCAGCCCTCTCCAGGGAGGAGCCATTCCCCCAGCATGTCTCCAAGCAAGGTCCTGGCCCAGAGCTTACTTGGTCAGCTCCTTTCTGGGAGAAGGGAAGACAAGGGAAGGCTGGCCCACATACCCCCAGATCTCTGGCTGCAGCACCACAACAGTGGGCAGAGGTAGCAAGTAGGCAGAGGTTTTGTCCGCTCTTGGCAAGGTCCAGGAGTGGAGCATCCAGGTCCACATCCATGTGCTCTGCCTGCCTTAGCATCCTCAAGGTTGGACCCCTTGGTCCACCAGCCTTCTAGCTGCCACTGTGTCCTCATGCCTCAGGAGCCTGCTGTAGCTCCTGTGCCCAAGGAGGAAGCCCAGGCCTTTGCGCATGTGGATGCCTCAGGGCCCCTGACCTCTAGGTTGGTCCACAGCAGTCAGGCTCCCCTTGGGCATCAGGAGCTGGGGTTAGGGAGGCAAGAGGTCACCCCAGCTCAAGCCTCCTGCCAGCCAGCCACTGGCCTTTGGGCTCCCACAGATTCACACAAGCCTGCACATGTCCTGACAGTGAATACAAGTACACATGGGCTCACATGCACCACAGGCAAACCCAAGGCCACAGGCAGCTCTCTGACTGGACATCTGGTGGTGGTCCCTGCTCCACCCTCAGAGGGATCTTGCCCAGCCTGGTGGGGCACTGGCCTTGTCTTGGCTCTCTGACTCGTGACAGATCTTGGAACTTTCCAAGGCAGTCCCTCAATTCCAACCAGACAAGCTCTAACCACTACCTTCCCCTTGAGTCTCCAGGGTTCCAGGCCATTTGGCCTCCACCCCCCCCCCCCAGATAACCTCTGAACCGGAGGAGATGTGGACACAGACACAGTCCTGGGGAGGCCTCTGTCTTGAGCATCCAGGCCTGCTCACTGTGAAGTCTCAGGGAGAATCTAGTTGCTGGGAGAGGGTGGGAGGACCAAGGAGGCCCAGAGACACTTCTGCTCCGACTCTTACACATGGTGGGTACACACTTGTGCACTCACAGATATGTAGACTCCCCTGGGGACAAGAGCTCCCAGGCTAGGGTTGAGGGCTGAGGAAGGGGGCAGCTCAGGTCCCCCAGGCTGGAGTGTGGCCCTGCACAGTGTCTCACTGCTCAATCTCCAGGCTGCTGGGCAGCTGCAGAGGCTCCGTGGGCTTGAAGCTGAGGACTTCCTGGTAGGTGAGCTCTGGGAGTGAAGGAGAAAGGTGAGCTCATGCCACCACAGCCCCTCCCTCTGGGAGCGGCCTCCACCCAGCTGGAAGCCAAGGCCTGCCCTGGGCTGCCCCCACCTCCTGACCATGCTGGGAGTCTCCTGCAGAAAACAATCAAAACCCTTCTCCAGCTGAGACAGCCCTCAGGCCCTAGTCACGGCCCCTCCTCCTCTCCATGCCCCACCCTGCGCCCACCCTTCCACTCTTCCAGTGTTCGATCCTTGGCCTCAACGCTTTCGTCATAGGGTTCAGCTTCCGGCTCATCCTCTGGGTCATGGTACTGGCTGAAGTACGCGTGGCCCAGTGCCTCAGCAGCACTGACCCTCTGGTCACTGTCCAGCACCAACATCCTCCCAAGCAGGTCTACAGCTGCAGGGGGGCCAGTGGGAAGTGTCACCTTCACATTTCAGGCCAGAGGTGGACCCCAGCCTAGCCCCAGGGCCAGTCCTCACCCAGGGGGTTGGCTCCGTGGAAGATGCTGCTGAGATCCTTCTGAGGCATGGGGGGCAGGGACTGGATGTATGTCCGGGCCTGGGGGTACATGAGACGGACCTGGGGCACTGCTTGTCCCCTACCTCCCTGACCAGAGAGCCCTGACTCTTTCACTCCAACAGGCTGGACAGGAGCCAGGCCTACCAGAAACTTCCTCCTCCTGGGATCTGGTGGCTCAGTTCCTCATTGGGCCCCAGAGGCCTCCAGGAACTGGAGATAGAGTGCTGCCTTTCCCATCCACCCCACTCCCCACAGCTAAAGCAGTTGTTAGTACTGTGATTTTGTCCTCATTGACCCTTGTGCCATTAACGTTCTCCCCATTCACCTGCACCCCAGAAAGAGTTGGGTGCCTAGTTTGGGCCTATCCCACCCTCCCCGTGTTCCCCATATGGTGCCCATCCATCTCCATGCCCCACCCCCTGCCTGGTCAGCACAGGGAGCTGGTGATTGTCTGGGCACAGACTTACGTGGTCTGAGGATATCTTTGCCAGAACCTCAGGGCTGGGTGTGCCTACCACTTCCATGATGCGCTTTAACTGGTCAATGTCTATCTGGCTCAGGAAACTCCCGCTGACCAGTCACGGACCTTCACCAGCCCCTAGCCCCTGGGGTGTGGGGCACTGCACAGAGAGCAGGGACCTGAGGGCAAAATAGTACGGGACAGAATGGGCCAGGGCCCACCCCCACCCTGTGGAGACTCCAGCCTGCCCCTCTCCCCAGCCTGGGCCAAGGATACAGTCGGTTCCAGGGAAGAGAGCTTTTCCCTGGAGCAGCTCAGCCATGATGCAGCCCACAGACCAGATGTCCACTGCAAAGAAGGGCAGGAAGGCTGCATCAGTCTGCTCATTCTCAGTCCTTCCTTGGAGCTGGGAGGAGCCAGCCCAGTGACCTTGAGTCACACCTAGGCCCAAAGACAGAAGAGCCCTTCCTCCCATACCCACCCAGCCTGGAGCAGAGGGAGGAGTTAGCTCAGGCCCCAGGCGCAGAAGACACCCACCACCCACCACCCACCGTTTCCCGGGCTCCTCTGAAATTTGGGGGATCTTGCATGTCCCTCAAAACTGGGCCTGCCTCCCAGGATCCTCAGCCTGCAGAGGCTCCCAGCTGAGGGTGGACTGTACCTGTCTGGTTGTAGTGCATCCAGTTCAGCATGATCTCTGGTGCCCGGTACCAGCGCGTGGCCACATATCCCGTCATCTCCTCGTCCGCCTGGCGCGCCAGCCCAAAGTCCAGGATCTGGGGGAACCACAGGCCTCAAGCCCTGCGGGTGCCCCCGCCGCCCCCCAGCCCCGGCGCCCCTCACCCTGAGCTCGCAGTCCTCGTTCACTGCCACGTTGCTGGGCTTCAGGTCCTGTGGGGTGGGCGGGGCATGAGCACAGGTGGAGCCCGCCAGAGACCCGCAACCGCGATGGCACCTACCCGGTGGATGATCCCGGCAGAGTGGATATACTGCGGGAGGGAAGGCCATGGTGAGCCTGGCCCGCGACTCCGGGACCCGGCCCCAAGCCCAAGCCCTCACCTTCAGCCCTCGCAGCAGCTGATACACGAGGAACTGGACGTGTTCATCGCTCAGCGCCTGACACTTAACGATGTTGTTCAGGTCGGCGCCCATTAGGGCGGTCACTAAGTACCTGCAGCGGAATCAGGGGTCAGGTCAGGTCCAGACCACCCCTCCCCACCGCACTGCACTGCCCGAGCCGTGCGCCAGGCTGCTCACACTTCACTGAAGTCCTCGATGCACGTGGCAGGCGTGAAGACATCCAGGAGCCCAATGACCTGCACAGGTGGGAGGCCCGCGGGAGTCGAGCCCTAGGCACCGCCCCACTGTGGGCCAGATCTAGGAAGTCTCCTTTGGCTCCGCCCCACCGCGCTACCCACCCCTGGCTCCGCCCTGCGGCTCACCCATTCATTGGTCTCCTCGGGCATGCCCTTCACCGGCCCACTTCCCATTGGTCCATCTCCGAAGCACCCCACCAACCCTCTCATAGCTCCACCCCGCGGGCCGTGGTCTCACGTTCTCGTGCTTCAAGTGCTTGAGCAGCCGCAGCTCGCGGTAAGTCCTACGCGCGTGGATCAGCGACTGGAAGGGACGCGACAGCTTCTTCACCGCCACCTTCTGGCGCAGCTGTGCGTCGTAGGCTGAACTGCAAGGCGAGCCAGGCAGCATGGGCGTGGGAGCAGACCGAGCCTCAGGGGCATTCCGCCTGCCCACAGCTCCTTGTCTGCTCCACCAACACCCCTCCACACGCTCCCCCGTCTTCTCCTGTTCTATGAGCCCCACTCACAGTGAGGCCGGTCGTGTAACACAGCGACTGACCCGCCCAGCCCGTGCACCCCCTGGACCTGGAAGGCTCACCGAGGAGTTCTAGAGCACTTTCAAAGCCCCTAGGCCCAATGGTTCCGCATTTTCAAAATACAGAGAAGACCGGCCAGAGGTGATGTTTTTGGTTTGGTTTGGTGTTTTTGAGCCGGGGACTCACTATGCTGCCCAGGTTGGCTACGGGGATCCCCCGCCTCAGCCTCCAGAGTAGCTGGGAATACAGGCATGCGCCACCACATCCAGCTTGTAGGTGTTTAGTTGCACCCTCATTTGTAGTTTTCCTACTAGACAGCAGGAACTATCTAGCTGAGGGGGCCTCTGGCCCCACTCCCCAGGGCTGTGCCCCCCTTGTCTGTGGGCTTCCTATCCATCCTAAATGCCATCCTCCTCAAAGGCAAATGAGACAAGATCCCCCACCCTCCTTCAGTCCCACTGCACTCAGGATCAAGACACAGCTGTGAAAGGGGTGATGGAGGAGTGGTGTCCGTGCTTCTGCACAGCCTGTACCCAGGCTGATCCATGTCCCTTCTGTCTCTCCTGCTTGTCTTCTGAGCTGGGGCCTGGAGGGTGGTGGAGGGAAGTCAGCCATGGCAGTGAGCGAGTAGGGTCCAAGTCACTGGTGGGGTGGGGGATGAGGACCTGCCTGCTGATGTGGGGCAGGGGGTCCTTTTGCCCCCACTGAGTCTGTTGTCAAGTGACGGGGAGTTAGCCCCCACACCTCAGCAGTGGACTGCAGCAAACAGTGCCAGGGGTGCAGAGAGAGACCTGGGCCTTGCTGGGGAATCTGACCTCCCAGGGACTCCCAGATGGTGAACCCAGAGGTGAGTCCTCGCTGGCCACTGTCACATTGCTCCTGTGGCTTCCTGCTCTCGTGGTCTTAGAGACGGACAGCTGCCCTGGCCTGCTTGAGGTTCTGGTGGCAGGCAAGCCCCACCAGCTCTGCCTCCAGGGGTCTAAGGGAGCCCACTCCTCAGACACCCCTGATGCCTTTGCCTCTCTGCCCCCACCATGGCTGTCTCTAACAGCAGCCACCTGCCACTGGCCTCCTAAGAACCCCCGCAATGCTGGGGTTCCCATCTCAACAGCCACATCCTTGAACAACCTTCCTGTCAACAACACAGCTGCAAACTGAGACTCTGCACCAGCTCTCCAGCCTAAGTGCAGTGGCAGAGGCCTAGCCCCAGTCTGAGTGCCACCTGAAGATCCTATGGCCCCTCCAGACCCAGCCCCTTTCTGGGAGCGCCTTTGGCTGGGGCAAAATTGGGATGGTGTGTAGACGCCCCCTAAGGATTGCAGGGGGAAAGGCAGGTGTTTCTCTGCTCAGGCCTAACCGGGGTGTGGAATCTGAGGGGGCCAGAAAAGTGGGACGGGGGCGGGATCCGCGGGAAGCCATCCCAGGGGAGGGGTCCCGACTACCTCTGCTGGGCGCTTCCAAACAATAGCACTTGCCCGGATTGGGGCACCAGTAGGCCCCGGTACGATCTGGCCCTGGTGTGAGAGAACCAAGAGTGGCTGCCCAGGGCCGGGCCCCATTGTGCGCCCCAGGTTCTCCCCCAGTGAGGGGACCTCGGGGCCTCGCGGGAAGGAAAGTTTCCCGCGAGCACCTTCCTCCCATTCATTCGCGTGGCGCACAGGCCGGGGTGGAGGCCGGGCGGACCCTTCCGCTCGCGGGACCCCTCTCTGTGGGGGACCCCTCGCCACTCCTGGACCCCGCCCCACGCGAGGCTCCCTCCCCGCGCCGCCACCCCTTGCCACGGCGGACCCCTTCCCACGCGGGACCCCGTCTGACCCTACCAGACCGAGCCGTAGGCGCCCGAGCCCACGGGGCACAGGCCTTGCAGCCGCTGCGGCACTTCCCACACCGTCTTGTTCAGTTCCTGCCGGTAGAAGCCGGCGCGCGGGGCCGACATGGCCGAGCCCCGCCTCGCCTCGCAGCAAGCGGGAGGGCGGGAGCGGGGCGGGGCGAGGGGCGGGAGCGGGGCGGGCGGAGTTCCCGGCCTCTCGGGGGCTCCCGGAGGCCGACGCGCGGCTCCGCCCCTCCGCTCTCAGGCTCCGCGTGAGTCCTCGGAGCCGGACACCTCGGACGAACGGTAGCGCGGCACGGACAGCCGCCGCGAGGGGTGCGGGTCCCACTAGGTCTCCCGGCGTCAGGACCAGGGACAGCGGCGATGCCAGGGCCTCGGGGAGTGGCGCCGCACCGGGTAGTCCCCCCAAGTGTCGCTGTCACACACACCCCCGGAAGCCCACCTGGTCTTTCCTGGTCCTGGGGTGCGCTGGGGCTCGGTCCCCGGATGGGGGCAGAGGGCCGCTTCCTGCTTATCCGTGGCTCCTGGCTACGACCTGGAGAGGAGTGTGTGTGTGGCCGGGTGGCCCCTTCCAGAAAAGTGGGAAATCAGGCTCTAAGTTGTCTGATCTTCTTTAAAACAGTCTGAGTTTCATGTGAAATCGGATTTATTTTAGTGCATTTTTTTATCCTGGTACTGAGGATTGAACCCAGGGCCTTCCCACTGAGCTACATCCCTATCCCTACCTCGTTGTTTATTATTTATTTATGTAAGTTTGTTTGAGACAGGGTCTCACTATGTAGTTCAGGCTGGTCTTGAACTCACTTTGTAGCCCAGGCTGGCTTCGAACTCGCAGTGATACTCCTGCCTGGCCTCCCAAATCCTGGGATTACAGGTGTGTGCCACCACACCCAGCTGTTAGTTTTGAGACAGTGATTAAATTGCCCAGTCTGGACTCAAATTTCAATCCTCCTGGCTCAGCCTCCCAGAATGCTGGGGTGACAGGGGTGCACCATCACACCCTGCTCATTCTATTTTGTGGTATGGGGGATTGAACCCAGGAGCTCACACATGCCACAGAATAGCTCTTGCACCAAGCTACAGTCCTAGCTAACCCCCTCTTTTTTTGATTTTGAGAAAGTGTCTAACTAGGTTGCCCATATTGGTCTGGAATTTTCAATCCCCGTGTCTCAGCCTCTAGAATAGCTGGTGTTACTGGTATGTACCATCTTGCCCAGCATAAATTTGATGGTTATTTTTGGTACCGGGGATCGAACTCGGATCCTTGTGCTTGCAAGGCAGACGGTGGAACCACTGAGCTAAATCCCATAAATTTGATTATTAAATTAAAAATTAGGACTAAAGTGTAGCTTAGCAGTTCTTGCCTAGCATGGGTGAGGCTTTGTGTTTGATTCCCAGCATGGCAAAACTAATAATAAAATAAAAATTAAATTAAAAATTGGCAACCAAATTAAAACAAGTCAACACAGTTCTGGGCCTACGTGCCCATGTGCCAGGATTCTGGACCTCAAGGCACACACAGATGGCAGAAGAAGCCATTCCAGGTCCTGGCCTCTCTGGTCTCTTTCCTGTGACCTTGACCAAGCCCCAAGGCAACCTAGGCCTCAGTTCCCTCCAGGAACCAGAGTTGGCCCTGGGGTCTAGGCAGAGCCTGAGTGTGGCCCCAGCCCCACTGCCCTGCCCAGCCCTTCCTGAGAGCTTCTGCCTGAGTGCTTTCCCTGGGCGGAAGGCCCAGAGGCAGAGGTAGTGAAGTCCAGTGGGAACCTCAGCCAGGCCTCAGGGGAGGGAGCAGCCTTTGTCTGAGGAGGGGGGCAGGACCAGGGCTGGTGTATTTCTAGTGGCTACCAGTCCAGACTTCCAGGCTACACCCTGGATCTCCCCAGTGCTGTGGGATGAATCAATGGGGAGATGCCTGCCCACCCAAGGGAGCCCCTCCATGCCTCTCTAACCACTGCGAGTCCTGGTGGTCAGGGCTGACCACTGTGGAGGCTTCTGCAGGCTGCATGGGCCCAGCCCAGCTCAGCAGCCTGGCCTTGGGGATCCTCTCTCATGCTTCAGCAAGGTGAACCTGCACCCTCTGAGGATGGAATGGGTTTAACACTGGGGGCCAGGGGATGTCTGCTGGAGCTCAGGAGGTGGTGAGTGCTAGAGGTCCTAACCCCAACAGCCTGCCACAGAACAGGAAGGTGGCCCAGTGGCACAGCTAGGGAAGAGGGGGCTGAGCTGGCAAAGTGGGCGGCCTGATACAGGTGGCAAGGACAGAGGGCAGGTGTGGGAGGCTGTGGTACAAGCACCTCCTCCCCAGGGGCCATCTCCGTCCTCTTTTGTGCTCATTTCACCACATCCCTTCTCCATACCCACCCCGCACACCCTGTACAGGGCCCTTCTGTGGTCCCCGGCTCCCTCTCAGCCCTTCTGGTTGCCCTGTGCTTGTGGTCAGACGGACTTCCTGGAAGACAGATCTGGGGTGTCAAGCTGATTTAGGGGGTGCTTTTATTTATTTTTGAGACAGCATCTCATTAAGTAATCCAGGCCAGCCTTGAACTCATTATGTAGCCAGGCTGGACTCAAAACTTGTGATGCCTCTCCTACCTGTCTCCCAAGTGCTGTGATCGCAAGTGTGAGCCACCACACCCAGCTAAGGTGAGGGATGCTTCTAGAAAGGACATCAAGGTTACCCACAGCTCCTTGTTGACACCTCTTTCTAATACACTGGGAGGAAAGTGGGAAGAGGAACATTGCAAGGAAGGGTCACCCTTGGCCTTCTGGCCTTCAGCCACTCACACCTGGCCTGGACGCTTCACATGCCTGCCTGTCCTCCAGAGTGGGTAGGAGAGGGTGAAAACCACCAGCCCCAATTTCCGAGCCTGTGTGGGGTCTCACTAACATCCACGGGAAGGGACAGAGGTGTTCTGTGGGGGTCCAGTCTGGAGGGTAGGCCTGCAGAGTCCTGGGGACCATTCCCTCCTCACCTCTGCCTGGACTTAGCACCTTGTCCCAATTTTCAGGCCAACCAGGCCCTGAGGAGAGGGGACCCCAGCATGAGGCCATCACAGCAGTGTTGCTCAGGGGCCCTTGTCAGCCACTGGCCTCGTACCCTGCCTTGGGGAACAGAGGCCCTGGTCGATACGGCTTCCCTGGGACCACCTGATGCACACTGGTGCATGGTCCACAGTGGCTGTTCCATCAAGACTCCCAGCCACAAAGACATGCTCCGTGGAGGGGACACAAGCAGGGAGGGTTTGAGGATGAAGCAGTTCCCATCCAGCCACAGGGAGCTATGTGGAGGCCCGGGCCATTTGCTGCTCAGGTGGGGACCTCAAGGGCAGACCCAGTATCCGGTGTGCTGCTAGGGTTACCAGTGCTCAGCATGATCCCTGGGATATTTGTGTGTGTGTTGGGGTTGGGGGGAGTGAGGCTGGACGCAGCTGCCTGTGACATCTGAAATCACCCTGGACCCCACCTGCATCCACCACCCCTGGCCGGGAGCCCCAGGTGCTGCTTGAGCTCAGGCCACAGACCTTCGATCCTGCTTACCCTTGAGCCACCTGGCACAGCCTGAGAGGAAGCTGATCTCGTGGCCCTTGACGGGGGCCTGTTTCAGAGCTGCCCCTGGTGTCTGACAGGCTCTGTAGAAGGTAGGGGCTTACTGACCACACACTGGGAGGTGCTGCCTCTCACCCCCATTAGCAGAATCTGAGAGCACAGGTCAGGACAGAGTCATCTCCTACTGGCTCCATCCACACAGTCCCAACAGCCCATCCCAAGAGGAGGGGAGGTGGACAGCCGCCGCACGGCACCAGAGCTGACTCAGTCCCCGTGCCCAGCCAGGCAGCTCTCTGGTCTCCCACACAGGGGCCACCCTAGAGCCAGTGGTGCCCAAGCAGGGAGGCTGTGAGCTGCAGAGAGCCAGGGATTAGGGCAGGTGAGTAGGACACGTGGACAGCCCCAGGACGAACCCAGGCAACCAACAGAGTGAAAAAAACAGATGTATTGGATTTACAATTAACAAGATTTACAAAAAAGGGTGAGGTGGTCCTGGTGGAGCTGGCCCGGGGGGCCTCCAGGACAGCCTGTCTGACAGGCTGAGACCAGGACTCCTAGTCTTCTGGGTCCTCTTGGCCACTTGGGCCCCGACGTCTGACGTCCAGCTTGACCTTAGAGGTGGGGCCCGGCAGCCCTTGTGCCCCTCGGGGAGGCCAGGTGAGGTCAGAAGGCATCGTACCGCTTTTTCTCCTCCTTCTATCTGGCAGACAGGCAGATACGCAGTCCGGTAACTTGTCCTGGGGGCTGCCCTCAGAAGCCAAGCCTGGGGCATCCAAGGAGGCTGCTGGTTGCACGGGCAGGGCAGGCCAAGGCCTCCTCATGACCTGTGGCAGCCTGGTGTGGCTTTGTAAGGCACGTTTGGGAATAGCTCCGGAGACAAGCACAGCGACGCTGGTGCCACAGGAGAGCTGGTGCTGGAGCCCGGGCTGTATTGCTCAGGAGGAAGTTGCTACCGTCTGCAGCAGGAGGCGGGCCTGCTGCACCCCACGCCTGGGGCCCCTCTGGCGGGAGAGAGCAGGCTCAGCCACAGCAGGTTGCCATATCCTCGGGGACCGCCCCCCACTAGGCACAGGCCTCACACACCTGTGCCCCGAGGCAGCACAGGTGCCCCGAAGTCAGAGGTCAGTGACCTTGTTCTCCAGTGCAGCCGCGATCTGCTGCAGGCGGAAGGCCAGCTGCATCTTCTGGGCGGCAGGGTCCTCCTCCAAGGCATTGATGATCTGAAGGGGATACCGGTGAGACCGCAGACCCAGGGAGGGGCTGCCCGTGTGCCCGCTGGTGTCCCAGACCCACCTCATCATAGTACTTCTGCGTGTACTGGTAGAGCTGGTGCAGTGCCACGAGAGTGTTCAGGGAGTCTGTGTGGGCCTGGAGGGGGGGGGCAACAGTGTCACCAGCATGGAGGGAGGAGCAGCAGGCAGCAGCACGGTGGCTGCACACTGGTGGCACAGCCAGGGCCACGCGCAGAGTGGGGGCAGGGCTCCGAGCTGCTTCGTGTCACA